ATTTCCGTGCCTGCTCTGCGCAGTTGCACAAAAGCTGCACCGCATCGAGCCCCCCCCCCATCCCACATCGGAGGCGCGGCGTGGTCATTCACGTGCATTCACCTTGTAGAGGGGAAAAGCATATCGTACGCCTGACAAGCTCCGATTCGGGCGTTGTAAGAGATCCTCTGTCTTGTTGTAGTCCTGCCCGATGCGTGATCGGAATTGGCGCGCATACTCTCCCCTGTGCAGCTCGATCATCGCTCTTGAGTGCTCTCGTTCATCCTCCGGAACTGCGAGACATTCTAATCATCAATCACACTTAGGAAGGAAGTGTGAACTGTTGAACGGGTGCTGGGCATTCTCAACCCGAAACCCTACTTGCAGCGATGCCCGCATCGATAAGTCGCTGCGTCGCATGCGGGGCAGCCTCGGTAAGGAAATGCATGACGTCGTCATGTGTTGCCATGGAGTTGCCTGGGCACAGCGCCGACATGCCGACCCGGAGAACACATCAAAATGGTCTCATGTGGCGTTAAATTGTTGCACTCCCTTTTATATCATCTTTGCATGCCCGAGAAGCTGGATGATCGCAAATCCCAGGCGCGTGCGCCATTGAGTGCACCTGGCAGGATGACAGGGCATGTAGACTGGCAAAATTATTTCCGAACACTAGCATGTGTAGTGTCACTTTGATGACATAGTTGTGTGCAGTGCAATTACTAGACATGGCCGCATGTAGGGTGCATGTTGTGTGCATCTCTTTGGCTATTTCTCATCCTTTTCACAACCGAACCTCACACACACTCAGTTGGCGGAAATCAGCCACCTGTCAACCTCTTCTCAATCCCAACCCAGTGGGTGGAGGTGAAACCTCCCTAGCACTGACCTTATACACACCCATAGAGGGAAGGTCAAGCTCCCCTCCGCCTCTTCTAGAACCTAGCCCAATGGGGGGAGTTGAACACTCCATCACGAACCATTCACACTCACTGAGGGAAGGTCAGCCTCCCCTCCACCTCTTATCAAACCCAGCCCAGTGAGGGGAGTTGAACCCTCCCTCCCTTACACTCACCCTATACACGCTCACTAAGGGAAGGTCAGCCTCCCCTCAACCTTTTCTCAAAAGCCAGCCCAGTGAGGGGTGCTGAACCATCCCTCCCTCACACTCACCTCATACACACCCTTCAAGTTCAAGGTCACGCTCCCCTCAGCCACTTCTCTCTTACACAGCCGTGTGGGGGGAGTTGATCCTCCCCCCACACTCACCTCATACACACTCTCGAAGTTCCGGTTAGCCTCCCCTCAACCTCTCATCAAACCCAGACCAGTGAGGGGAGTTGAACCCTCCAGCCCTCACACTCACCTCATACACACTCACCTCATACACACTCACTGAGGGTAGGTCGTCCTCCCTTCAACCTTTCCTCAAAACCCAGCCCAGTGAGGGGTGCTGAACCATCCCTCCCTCACACTCACCTTATACACACCCACAGAGGGACGGTCAAGCTACCGGCAAGCCACTTCCCAAACAATGTAGTGTGAGTGGCGTTGAACCTCCCCCCACACTCATCTCATACACACTCTCAAAGGGAAGGTCAGCATCCCCTCAACCACTCATCAAAGCCAGCCCAGTGAGGGGAATTGAACCCCCCCTCCCTCAGACTCACCTCATATCCCCTAAACCTCATGCACACTCACTGAGGGGAGGTCATCCTCCCCTCAACCTTTCCTCTAAACCCAGCCCAAGGAGGGGTGCTGAACCATTCCTCCCTAACACTCACCCCATACACACCCACAGAGGGAAGGTCACGCTCCCCTCAGCCACTTCTCTCTCACACAGCCGTGTGAGGGGAGTTGAACCTCCCCCCACACTCACCGCATACTTTCCCTTGAAGTGAAGGTCAGCCTCCCCTCAACCTCTTATCAAACCCAGCCCAGTGAGGGGAGTTATAAATTTCCTCCCTCATACTCACCTCATACACTCTCACCTTATACACACTCACTGAGGGGAGGTCAGCCTCCCCTCAACCTCTCATAACCCAGCCCAGTGAGGGGTGTTGAACCCTCCCTCCCTCAGACTCACCTCATACACCCCCGTCGGGGGAAGGTCACGCTCCCCTCAGCCAATTCCCAAGCACAGCCGTGTGAGGGGAGTTGAACCTACCCCCACACTCACCTCATACACACTCTCGAAGGGAAGGTCAGCCTCCCTTCAACCTCTTATCAAACCCAGCCCAGTGAGTGGAGTTGAACCCTCCCTCCCTCACACTCATCTCATACACACCCACTGAGGGAAGGTCAACCTCCCCTCAACCTCTTCTAAAAACCCCAGCCCATTGAGGGGGCGTTGAACCCTCCCTTACACACACCATATAACACATTCACCTCATAACACACTTGCTGACCGAAGGTCAGCCTCTAGTGTGCCACTTCTCAAACACAGCCCAGAGGGGAGAGTTGAACCTCCTTTCAAACTCATCTCATACACACTCACTGAGGGAAGGTCAACCTCCCATCAACCTCTTCCCCAAAACCCAGCCCAAGGGGGGAGTTGAACCCACAATCACATTCATCTTATAACACGCATACCTCACAACAAGCTTACTCAGCCTCTTCTCAAACCCTCACCAGCAGGGAGGGTTGAACATCCCATCGCGCTCACGTCATACACACCCACCGAGGGAAGGTGACGCTCCCATCAGCCACTTCTCAAACACAGCCTTGTGAGGGGTGTTGAATCCTCACTCACACTCATCCCATACACATTGAGGGAAGGTAAGCCTCCCCTAAACCTTCGCTCAAAACCCAGCCCACTAAGGGGAGTTGAACCCTCCCTCCCTCCCACTCACTTCATACACACCCACTGTGGGAAGGTCTCGCTCCCCTCAGCCTCTAATCAAAACCAGCCCAATGTGAGGGAGTTGAAACCACGCTCACATTCACCTCATACACACTCACTGAGGGAAGATCAGGCACCCCCCAGCCTCTTTTCAAAACCAGCCCAGGGCTGGGAGGTGAAACCTCCCATCACAATCACCTCATACAGACCCACCGAGAGTCGGTCAGCCTCCCCTCACCCTCTTATCTCGCCAGCCTAGGGGACAAAGTTGAACATTTCCCCACATTCACCCCATACACTCTCACTGAGGGAATAGCAGCATCTTCTCAAACCCCACCCAGTGGGGGCCGGTGAACACTCCCTCACACTCACCCCATACACACTCACGTAGTGAAGGTCCCCCTCTCCTCCACCACTTATCAAACCCAGCCCAATGGGGGAGTTGAACCTCGCCTCACACTGCTCTCATAGACCCGAAACAGAGGGGAGGGCACCTCCTCTTATCCTCACCCCTTTGAACAGCTTTTTGGGAAGGGGGGGGAGGGGGGTGGGTTGAACCACATCTTACCCTGATTTCATACCCAATCAATGAGGGCCGTAGTTCCTCCTCTCCGTCTCACTTTACATCCAAACCTGTGGGGAGTGTTTGACATTCCATCTCCATCACCTCGTGCCTTCTCTCTGAGGGGAGTCATCCCTCCCCGTTCCCTCCCCTGAGACACCCTCTTAGGCAAGTTATACCTCACCTCACCTTCACTTCATCCCCACTTCAGAACCCCACCATGTTCACTCATTGGTCGCCAAGAACTTGTAGGTTGACAGATATGCTGAGTGTGTCAGTTGATCCCTCGTTTGCCGATAGTCACCCGTCCTCGCCGGCGTAGCTGCGTAGGTGCGCACAGAGAAATGGGAACCAGTATGAGGTGGAGAGAATCGATGTGGTGCCTGCAGTAAAGTGCGTGCCGAACCCATGGGGTGCGATACAGTCTGATGCAGCGAAGGTGGGCGCGGAGCTGGCGTGGGACCGATATCATATCACGGTTGGTGCAAGGCGATGGTGGGTGGTGCGATAATCCGTTTGCGTTAGCACGATGTCATAGCTCGCGTGTGAGGTTCGAATGTAGCACGCTTTCACAACTGCGACTACGATATGCTTCGCGAAGCTGAGAGTGACGTTTGAACGATTTCGCAAGTGGGTGGTATGCCCTAGAGTGGAACAGGGGTGCACGTAGTGCCGTCAGGTGCGGTGCGAGTGGCTGCTAACCAACAGTACTGTGCGCGTTCGCGGGGGGATTGAGTGCGGTGCTGGAAATTAATCGCACGGGTGACTGCTGTGACGGTTGAGTTTGGCGCAGAAGAGGGTGGAGCAGGTCGAATTGTTCTAATAGACGGGGTCAAGCTGTATCACCGTACGTGTGTCACATCCGTGTGCTGTACGAGGGACGTGCGTGTCAAGTGCATGTAGCAATGTGTGCAGGAGATGCGAAGATTGCCTCAGAAGTGAGTGGCCTTCAACATGGATTCTCCGGTAACAATAAATCCATGTTGCCAACCCGTCGTAGACATGAGGCCCTGACACACCGTGACCAAACAGCGTGCATTGTCCGTCGTTTCAGTGACTATGCCTTAGATTGCGCACAAGCAGAGACCTCAGCCCACTCACTCGCGTAGAGAATGGTTCATGCACTGTCCTTCGCGCGCGATGTGTCGTAACAAGTTCGTCGACCAACCCCGTCCCCCTAGCCGCTGGTGCGCGCCTTTGCACTCGGTATGCGCAGTCAATTTTACTTTGGTTGACAGAGCTCACTGCGATTCGTATAATGCTAGCTCGATTGTTACACGATTCGTCTCGTCGAATGTGGCGTTCTCTAAACTTACCGGGCTCTGGAATGCTCGTGTAAGCGACGGAACATGGTCTATCACTCTATGTCATGCATTCCCTCACGTATTACAATATGACTTGGAACAATAGGTCTCTAGAAGGCATGATCCTCAGCCGCGCCTCTGTTGTAACATCCTGCTGGCGACTCGGTGCTCCTGGACTAAGGCACGTATCTGTTGCGTGCTCCTGTGAGTATTCCGCTACCGTCGTAGCCATTTCAAAGAAGCATAGAAGACCGTTGCAAACCCGGTTGATAGCTCTCCAATGACGAAGCACAGGAGTCTTGTTTGGTAGGTGATGGTTGTCGAATGCTCTTTTACAGGTTGTGCTGGACAGTGTATGTCACGTCGCGTGGGGTGCTCGAAGTGGGCGGAATTTTGTAAGTGATGGTTGGTTGGATGTTGTTTGTCGTTTGTGTTTGTTCATGAGCCCTGCAGTACAGTATTGTGGCTTGCTATTCACTATAGAGCATTGTACCTTCGCTACTTGTTCCTGGCAATTTCAACCTTCGTCAACCTTCCCTGAACCCTTTTCAAGTTCAGTAATCTTGAGCCCTTGCCATTCTAGGCGCCGGCTTTAAAAGCGTTGCTGAGTTTGTGCAGCTGTTCCTCTCTACTTGCTCACACCTGCTGTCACGCTTGGCTTCTTAGCCTCAATGGCAGCCGCCCTCTCAGCCTGTTTCTTCTTCTTTGCTTTAATCGCAGCTGCCTTCTCAGCCTGTTTTTGCTTCTTCTATGCAATAGCAGCAGCCTTCGCTTCTTGCAACCTCTTCTTCTCTGCAATCGCAGCCGCTTTCTCTTCTTGCTTCCTCTTTTTCTCCGCAATCGCGACCGCTTTCTCCTCCTACTTCCTCTTCTTTTCCGCAACCGCAGCAGCTCTTTCCTCCTGCTTCCTCTTCTTTACAGCAATTGCCGCCGCCTTCTCTGCCTGCTTCCTCTTTTTCGCCTCCAGAGCAGCCTTCTTAGCCGCAGCTGCCACCGATCGTCACGCTGCCTCCTCCTTCCTCTGCCTCTCCACCTCCTCAGCACTCAACACAACAGGCCCTCCAGTTACCGACCCGCCTCCGCCTCTGCCTCCGGAGCCACCACCAGGACCAGTGCTAATCATTGATGTGTTGGACGAACCACCACCGCCGGTTCCAGGGGCAGTGGTGTTTGTTGTTGACGTGCCACCACTGCCGGATGAACCGCCTTGGTACCCGGGGCATCGCGGTCCCTCGTCGCTGCCGTCCGCGCAGTCCACCACGCCGTTGCACTCGCCGCCCGGGGGCATGCAGCCAACCTTTGACGGGCAGTAGGCCTAAGGGGGGATCACCATGGGCAGGGGCGAAGAAAATAGACAAGGGGGAGGAGAACAAGCAGGGATGAAAGATATAGAGAGGGGGAAAGGGAACGGGCAGGGTAGAGGAAAGCGGAGAGTGGGGGAGAGAACACAGATGAGCCGTGATAGCCGGGGCACTGGGACCACACGGTTGCATTCGCCACCCGAAGGCATGCAGCCAATCTTTGACGAGCAGTAGTCCTGCTGCTGCTGGGGATGAGAATGGCAGGGGTGAAGAAAACACAGGATGGGAAGGTGGCGGGCAGGGAAAAATGAAACAGAAATTGAGGGAGAGAATGAGCAGGAGAAGGGAATTCAGAGTGGGGGAGAACGGACGGGAGAGGAAAAAAGAAGCACAGAGGAGGGGAAGGAACGGGCGATAACGGAGGAAGCACAAGAGGGGAGGGGGAAAAGGAAGTGGGGAATGGGCAGGGAAGAAAGAAATAGAGGGCGAAAGAAATCGGGAAGGAACGAAGCACAATAAAGCATTTGGTCTAGACTATGAAGACTATTTAGAATCTTAGTAGACAAGCACATGAAGCTCTGGCCTCAACTGTGTGAAGGAATTTGCTGAAAAAGGCCAAGGTAGAAAGTTCAAGTAATTTTATTGAAGAAGGAATTTAAAACAGAGAACACAAAGCAAGTTATGAGCTGAAGGATTTCTGATTTCACCCTCGCGCCGCGCCTAATTTCGAGCTGACTTGTACTCGGCTCGATTTCCAAATCCAACCATGCACCGAACGCGCCTCGAGTTCGAATTTCAGACTTCCTTGGATGCGCCTTCGACCCGGCGTGACTTCTCTTCACGTCGCTTGAAATCTCGACATTTCAGCCGCTTTCTACTCTACTTCTGCACACTTCCCCTTCTTCTCTTCGATTCCCACTGCAAGTCGCGCCACCACCGTGTTTCTCCTTCCACCGTCCTAACTTAGATAGCTCCTCTTCTTATTAGGTCCTCGTTTTCCCTTAGTCACATCTCGTCACAGTAGGTCCTTCTTAGGTTGATGTAGGTCGCTCTAGGTAGTGGTTAGCTAACCACTTTCAACGATTTCCCCTGTGGTTTGCTAACCACCAGCTTATGCACTCTCCCTCGTACGTTTCACCTTAACCCACCTCTAGGCCTGCTCCACACTCCCCTGCAATTCAGCCAAGGTACGCATCCCAACCTCTCTCTTGGAATGCTCAAAATTTGCCCTTGGTAACACCTTAGTCAGAAAATTTGCTGCTTGTGCCTCCGTACGTATGAATTCAAATTGGAACTCCTTGCTACGCATCTTTGAACGCACCCAATGATACTTCACATCCATATGCTTGGTCCGACCGTGCCAATTGTCGTTGTGAGCCAAGTCGATGGCAGATTTGCTATCCGTGCGAATCACAGTAGGCCCTTCCACCTTGATTTCCATCTCCTTGAGAAGCCTTCTCAGCCAAACCCCCTCTTGGCACGCGAAAAACAGAGCCATGTTCTCCGCTTCCGCACTAGAGAGTGCTATGTCAGCCAACCTTTTCGCTTGCCACATGATTGCTGTCCCGCCGAGCAGAAACACGTAACCATATGCTCCCTTCCTTGTTTTGTTATCGGATGCATGTGAAGCATCCGCATACCCCACTAACTCCAAGGTCTCTTCACCTCCTTCGAATAACAGCCCCTCAACTCCATGTGCTGCCTCTACTACCGTGCTGCAGTGACCATGGCTTCTATTAGCGTATTGTCGTTCGACCCTGAAGGTCGCCCAGTCGAGTTCAATGCCTGGCTAGATGATCTTTAGCTGAATCTTATGACTGATGCCAAGGACGGCGTTTCGCTCTTTGACTTAGCCAAAGGTTCCTCTGTCGCTCCACACACAGCTGACAGCATCGCTCACTCACAGTGGCTTATCCGTGACGCTAATGCATGCCTAGCCATTTGCAACCACTTGCCTCTAGCCGAGCGTACCCACTTTGGCCAGCACAAAACCGCTAAAGCACTGTACGCTGCTGTCATCGCTCGCTACTCTTCTCCTGCCACTGCTGCCCTCAGCCGCCTTATCCTAACCTACCTTTTTCCTGAGCTCTCCTTCTTTACCACACCTGAGGACCTTATCACTCATCTCTGCGCTAGTGCCGCTCGTTACCGCGCCGCCCTCCCGACTGAGTTCTTAGACAAGAATCCTCCCCCGATGTACATCACGCTCTACTTCATTGTCACCCGACTCCCTGACTCTCTTCGTGTCGTCAAGGACCACTTTCTAGCCCTTCCCCACACCGACCTCACCATCGATGACATCGAGAAGCACCTGCTTGCGACTGGGTCCAACATCGTAGCTATCGGTGCTGCTCGTGGCACTCCCCGCACTCCCCTCTTTGAGGGGTATGCCCCCTCCCCCCTTGTCCCCTCCCACGCCTCTGCTGCTACTGTTGACCTCCTTGATGCTGAGGAGGTCGGTGCTGCTTCTGCGGAGAGTCACTCTACTATGGTAGTGAGCTAGGCTACGAGGGTTGGCACGAACTACTAGAGGTGATCGTAGCTTTGCTTGGTTCCTTAGTGCTTGCACATTTACAAGAGAAATCGGCAAGAGTTTCGACTAGCAAAGTTGGAATTCTAGAATCAGTACACAAGAGATGGCAACAATGACTACATCAGGCACCTAGTAACCCTGCAGCTAGCCTGGTCGACTGCCAGCACAGCTTGGTCGACCGCCTGCCAGCGTTGCGTAGAGGAGCCGTGCCAGCAGTGCAGAAAGGCGACCTGCCAACGGAGCAAGTCGACGGCGTGCCAACGCTGCAGAAGAGCGGCTGTCCAACGTTGCCCCCTAGAACACAGCAGCGTGCACGCTCGCAGGTGTGTGCAGACGATTGGCCCGACTTGCCTCGTTAGGCATCCATCGGTTGTTGTCTGCGCCTGACGAGCCACATTGACTCCGGGATACCAGCCCACAGTCGCCTGCGCCATCGCAACCTCAACGACATTCGCGTGCCTCCGCAGAACTCGTCGAGCAGGTTACCCGGTCGACCCGGTCGACCACAAGGTGCTTCCGGTCGACCATCACTGCTTCTGGTCGACCACTAGGTCCCTCTGGTCGACCACAACTCCCCTTGATGGATCCCTTCCGTCGACCAGAACCATCAGCGGTTGTCGCCGAGCTCCCCTCGTCGACCGCTGCTCACTTGTCAGGTCGACGGACTGCTCCGTCGGCCTCTCGATCAAACTGCAGGTCGACGGGATGCTCCGGAGACCTCCCGGTCGAACGGCAGGTCGATGGGATGCTCCGGAGACCTCCCGGTCGAGCTGTAGGTCCTGGTCGACGTCCCACCCGTCGCCCAGACCAGCCAGTTGCAGCTGTCGAGCTCCCCGGTCGACAGCAACACCACAGCGGTCCCCTGCAGCTCGACGAAGCCTGTCGAGCAGCTCTCCCACTGTGAATGGTCGGTTGCTACTCCCGTACATCCGACCAAGTCGTCGGCGTTGCCCAAGCGAGGGCGGGGCCAACACTCCATTCTTGTTAACAGCTTCTACTTCTGCTGGGAAGCGCCGCAGCGGCAAGGGCAAGGGAGGCAAGGGTGGCGGCACTAGCAGCGGGGGAGGTGGTGGTGGAGGAGGCGACGGTGGGGGTGGTGGTGGTGGGGGTGGTGGTGGGGGTGGAGGGGTCGGTGGCAGCAGTGGCAGCAGCGGTGCGCGTGGTGGTGGTGGAGGAGGCGGGGGTGGGAGCGGTACCAGTGGCGGCAGCAGCGGCAGTGGTGATGGCGGTGGGAGCGGTGGTACCAGCGGTGGTGGCGGCCGTGGTGGAGCTGGTCAGCGGGGAGGTGCTAGAGGTGGCCAGCACCAGCAGCAGCAGCGCCAGCCCAAGCCCCGCACGCCTTAGCAGCTTCGTGAGTGGTACGCTCATCGTGGGGCATCAAGGGGTAGTGGTCGCTGCCCTTACCGCATTCGCACTGGTGAACGCGCTGGTCAGACGTGCAACAAGTTTCACACCGAGTAGCACTGCTTCTCTAGGCTGGACGACGCGTGGCGTGCCCAGTTTCCTGATGCTAATGAGCTTCCCGACTAGGCAGATCTGCTTAGGCGTGATATTCCTATCTTTGATCTTGACTATGATGCAATTCTTGCTGCCATGTATGCATTGAGTGTTAGTGCAGAGGGTGACTGCTACTTGTGTATGCCGCCTGACCCAAGTATAGAGACTACAGCCCTAGGTGCTCGTGAGTCTGCCTTCCCTGGTACTGCGTCCGCTCAGGCCTTGCACACTTTTACAATTGACTCTAGTGCTTCCCGCTGTTTCTTTCGCGACAGTACCACAGTCACTCCCTTCCCTGCACCTGTCCCTGTCTCCCTGGCTGACCCCTATGGGGGCCCAGTGCTAGCACGGTCCACTACTGAGCTTCCATGTCCGGCGGTCCCGTCTGGTGAGCTGTCTGGTCTCCACCTCCCCTCGTTCTCAACGAACCTGGTGAGCAACGCCGTCCTTCAGGATCATTGGGTAGATACCTTTACTCCTGGAGGACAGCGCGTGGCGATCTGCACGTGCTTTCAGACTGGCCGCCACCTGGCCACGTTCACGCGTGCGCCTGGGTCCAGTCTGTACACCCTCACCACTACGTCCACCCCTTTGTCTCCTCAGCTGTATGCATCCGCTCAGGTAACTACCCTGTGTGAGCATCGCCGCCTGTCGCACCAGACTCTCCTTTGGCGCCACTGCCTTGGTCACCCCTCCATGCCCCGCCTTCGTGGCATGCACTCTCGCTACGTGGTCTCTGGTCTTCCCAGGTCCCTGCCCTCCCTCCCTCCCTTGCTTGCGCCGCCTTGCATTCCTTGCGTCGAGGGGCGGCAGCGCGCCGCTCCTCACTACTCCTCGTTCCCTCCCACAGAGGCTCCCCTGCAGACTCTCCACCTGGACGTGTGGGGCCCAACCCGCGTCCAAAGGCAGGGCTGCGAGCGGTACCTCCTGTGTCAGAATGTTATGCTCTAGCCTGTAGTGGGGTGCTCTATAGCGAGTACAA